ATATATATATATATATATATATCAAAAGTTATATTTAAAAAATCTTTTAACAGATTTTTCTAATTAGATTGCTTTTTTATTGGCAACCACAATGATTTTCCACAGATGTTCGCCAATAGCCAGTAATATATCTTATGTGATTGTTTTGATGAAATAGAACTAATATGTTATCAGTATTAGTAATAATCGTTCGCGATAATAATAAATGAGTCAAATATAATTATTGCATATCGTATTCTAATTGTTGAATGTGAAAGTAAAAGTAAGAATATGTCGCATAAAATTTTCACGATAACAATTGGGAATGTAAGATAAAATAAATACAGCTTCAAGAAAGATACTACAAAAAGTAAATTATTTATCGTATGGATGTTCAGATTATTTGTGTACGCGAACAAATTGTCTAAATAAAAGTTTAAAGGAGTAATTATAAAATAACTTGAAAGCAAAATAGATAAAAGTTATTAATCATAGAAAAAACCATGAAATTATAATTATAAATTTCAGATTTAAAAAAAATTTAATTAATCAACCGAAAAGTATGATTAATGTGCAGTAGTATTTTCAATATACGACAGTAGTTTCCTTGGAAAACAAAATACGACAATGTGTCGTATTAAGCCTGCGCATACGAGGCTTTTTTTCTTGCGGGTTGTTTGCATATTACTCTGTTGGAAATCTTGCTGGCTGCTATGCTAGAAACTGTGTAGTGTGTTGGCCATGCTGTTGATTAGTCTGCTGGATTTTAATGACAAGTCAGATGCTATTTTTCTTGCATGATTTTGTGCTAGCTCATTGTAGAAAGGGAACAGGCTTAGATTGCATAATCTAAGTATTCTTTTCACAATAATGAAAAACAATGCAATTGTACTTTCATGACAATATTTCATGACAGTAGCAATGATGTGTTCCATGTTTACTTATTCGGATATTGCCATCAAGAGCCTTCTGCCAAACAAATTTCAACTGCTCAGTCAGCACGAAAACTCGTACCGTCCGAATCCAAGCTAACAATCCGGCTAGCAACATTGCAATTACCGCTGCCAACATGATAGTAAGCATGCAAATCCAACTCACAAGGAAAAAAGTCATGTACGTAAGTTTTAAATATGCGAAAAATGTGAACCGCAATTTAAATATTCGATATCCAAGAATGGATTAACACGAAGATTTCTTAACTATATATTGTTTAAGCGCAATATTCTTGAAAATTTCACAATCAACGATCGTGGCATTCGTCTATCGTCGTTATTACTATTTACAACGTTTAACATGTCTAAGAGATTAGCGCATTTGGGATACGAGATGTGTTTCTTGGAATGTATTCGCCTGTTATATTTTTAAAAATTGATTCGCATCACGCTAGAAATCGATAATGCAACGTGCTTTGCATAAATTAAGATAGCAACGTACAACAACGTGTCGTTAAAATAAACGGTAAGAACAAAAATGCGAAAAAAACATGCCACGTCATTGATAAAAGAATTCTACATAGAATGTTTCAAAATTATGAGATCGGTCTCTATGTAAAAGAATGTTTTAATTAACATATAAGCGAAACTCTGCCTAACCATATGCAATAAAAAATATACGATGCGTAACTTGAATGTTGAAATAATTGAGTTTCTTTTTAATAATTAAATAATTTTCACGCTAAAATTCATTCAAAATTCGTAAAAAAATATTAGGTCGGTTAATATCAACCTCAATTATAAAATTTTTCATTTGATCGGTCCTGATTATAAATTTGTCCAAAGAAAAAAAGGAGGAAAGGATAATAGAAGAAAAAAGGAAAGAGAAAAATGAGAAACATTACAACAGACATTTATAGAAATCGATATCATTTATACTATAAATAGTATATATATCATTTTTGATCTTACAAGAAGAGGTTGCAACGTGATAATAATCGATTGCGAAACTCGTTGTAGCGATAGGTCAAGGATACTGGGTAAAGGGATATAATAGCACTTCTCAAGCGTTTGTGAGAAAATCGATTAAAAAGTTTATCGAATATTGGTCTTCAATAATTTTTTACTCAAATACTATCAATTTTACAGAAAAACAATGAGAGACAAAAATAATTTATTTTCTTCTCATAGAACTTTAAGAATTTTTTTAGAATTTTTTATCAACTTTTTTTTGTTGTATGAAAACACGATATTAAAAAATTCTAAAAAATTCTGAAAAAAAAAATTCTCAGAATTTTATGAGAGATTTTTTAGTAATTTTTATCGATTTTCTCACAAACGCTTGAGAAATTATATCCCTTTATTCATTTAACATGCAGATCTATCGCTACAACAAGTTTCGTTGCAATCGATTATTATTACATCGCGTCTTCTCCTTGTTAATTGATATCCTTTTAAACTACAAAGCGATATAATAAAATTTCAATGTGCGTGTACTTGTTTTATACCTCACTGAAGTATTTTTCTCGCTGAGAGAATCTGTAAGTTTCTCGTAATTCTTTATGTGCGTAAATCAATTTTCCCGTATAATTGAATTAATAATTATATTATTTTAAACGAAACTCAATTGATTCAACATTTCGTTACGATTGTTATATAGCAAATAACAAAAAGATTACGGCCACTTAAGACACTACGATTAATTTACTTATATATAAATGTTCGATATACATGAATGTAATCACATTACATTCTCGTAAATATGTTGTAAAAACCTGTATGTAGTTCTCAATGATATCACTTTGATATCGAGCAATCTAGTCATATAACTCTCTCGAACTCTTTTCTATTTCGCTTCGATTTTTTTCTGTCGGTTTTAAGAACTTGATTTTGTATCTTTTATTTCTTCTTTATTATCTTCTTTATCTCTTATTCAGTTCTGTTCTTACGGCTGGAAATATAAAATATCTCATATAAAGCACAAAAACTTTTGCATTTATATCTTATAAATCGCGAAAAATTTTGCATAACTGCAATAATATTCCATACCATCGATTATTTCTTGTTTCATCTTCTGAAATTCTTTCCGTACTTCTTTAATTATCTCCACCTTAAAGGCCTCCATCTCTTGCGCGGTGAGCGAAATTCCATCGTTAACACCATTTACTTTGAGAAGAGTATCCTCCGAAGCTGAACCGAACCTCTTGCGAACCGATTTCGGTGACTCGGCGCCATTGGAAAACTTATTATTAGATGCATTGTTTTTGTCCCAAGATTTCTTGTCTGGCGAACTTTCCGGTTCCTGTAAAAAGAATCGTTTAGCACTTTTTCTCCTTTCTCTCTCTCTCTCTCTCTCTCTCTCTCTCTCTCTCTCTCTCTCTCCTCCCCTTTCTTTTATTTTTTCTCATGATTAATTTATAATTATATTATATTTTATTGTACACTTGTATATTTTATTATTCTTTTCATCGTAAAAATGTACTCTTACCTAAATTATTCTAACATTTGTATAGTTTCAGTTTTTTATTGCTTGAGAGGATGCCATCCTAGAGTGCGTTATAAATTAATTTATCTATTTCTCTCTTGCCAATTTTTCGACTCTGATTTGACAATTTCTGAATGTTATGTGTTACAATAAATGTTTACCGGTGGTTGTTCGGGTTGTTTCTTCTCGGCGGCAGCCCTTCGGCGTGCTAGAGTTTTAGCCATCTCATCCATCATGGAAGCCATTCCACCGCCTCCACCTCTTCCTAAGGTGCCATAATTACCGCTTCCTCCACCACTGCTACTACTGCTAGTACTCGAGCCACTATTCTCCACTGGTTGTGATTGTTGCTATTGATAAAAAAGTTATCCTACTTGTGTGTCTTATACATACAATTACATGTTAATTTAATATATCATATATACATATATATATACATACGTACATATATATTGTATCCTCAAACAAGTGACAACTCTATCGAATTAAATTATTAAAAGATTAAAATTAAAAAGAAAAGAAAATTACCTGTTTCTTTTTAAGACGTGCTTGAAGAGCAGCTGCTAATGAGTTGGTATCAGGTGGAGGATCATTCGAGGAACTAATAGATGAACCAGCAACAGCGGTAGAATTGTTAGCGTTAGGTACAGGCGGCGGTGGCGGTGGAGGCGGTGCAGCGGGACCAGCCAGTGATACCATCGGAGGCGGCGGAGGACCACTGGCGATAGGAGCATAAGCGTTAGCGCTGACTGTGTGATGTCCACCAGTTGCGTACTGATTCACCGAATTTGATGGTGTCCCATATGGATTTGTGGTACCACTTGCTGTGGCAGCTGCTTGTATTTGACTGGTACCGCCATACTGTGCTTGTGCCTGGGATACATATTGCGATTGACCAGGCTGCGCGATCGCATATTGACTCACCGGACCAGGTGGCGGACCGACAGCATACTGATTTATCGAGCTATTACTTCCATACTGATTACCACTGCTACCGTATTGCGTAGCCTGACTACCAACTGATTGGTTATATTGGCTTGTATTAACTTGTCCGCCAGTAGTATAATTACTCGTCTGATTATTAGTACTATAAAAATTGTTTTGACTGCCAGATGGAAATTGATTCGGGCTCTGGCCAACAACGGAAGCCGCACCGCTTCCGGTGCCACTGCCACTATTAGAAACAGTGGCACTCGCGTACTGATTGCTTGCAGGCGCAGCATTATACTGGTTTGCCTGATTAGTAACGTAGATGGATTGGCATTGAGACTGTTGACTTGACTGGGATGATGGCGATTGTGCATACTGATTCATCATCATCGGTGGTGCCGGTGCCGCGGCCGAATTAAAATTCATCATTGTCGGTGGACATGGTGGAGCAGGAGGTGCAATTGGTGGTTGGGGCGGTGGTACCGGGGGACCGACTCCCGGTCCAGCTGAAATTTGCGGAGCCGCTGGAATCGTACCGCCACCTTGTAGAGTTGGTAGTTGCTGTGGAGGCGGTTGTGGCGCCGGCGGTGCTGATGAAGTTCGATGATGACCAGATTGTTGTTGTTGTTGTTGTTGTTGTTGCTGTTGCTGTTGCTGTGCAGCAGGCGGACAGCTCGGTGATATAGGATTGGGACTTCCAGTTGCTACAAAGAAATTTAATTTCTGAATCGTATACACACACACACACACACACACACACACACACACACACACACACACACACACACACACACACACACACACACACACACACACACATATATATATGCAAATATATACTTTATATACATTCTATCAAGAGATACGGTAGTGTCTCGGCGCTAAGCCAAGCGCAGCAATACTACC